TTTTTACAGTTTGTTTTTATACTTACTGGTGGGCTAAATGACTTAGCATTTTGAATGCTGTTTTGAAAGTATTTGAAATTAGTGGATTGCCTTGAATCCTTCAAATGAGCTTCCTTTTTTTTAGGTTTACTTTCTTCCTTTTTGAAAACCAGCTGTGTTGGACTTCCCTGATAAAACTGAAGTAGAATTACAGTTATATAACCTACTTTGTTAACATTTATTAATTTATATTTGTATTAGCTGCTCTTTTATTCTCATTTCTTTTGTGTTATTCTTCCAGCACAAACAACTAGAAGTTACCATTCTTATTGATTCCCATTTCAAAATCTGGCTTACATAGACTCTTTCTTACCATTGCTACTGTAGTCAATCTAGTTCAAATCCTAATCATCCCTTGACCAAGCCATTGCATTAGTCTCTCATCCATTATGAAAACCTCTGGTCTTTTCTCCACTTACTTCATCTTATAAACTTGTATTCTCAGATTTTCTTAGACTCCTTCATTGACTTACTGTGGTCTCAACAGTGATTTTTAATGTGTTGTCTGTGAAACCCTCAATCTGATAGTTTAAAGCTAATTTTACAATAAAACTGCAGACAATTTATGGTTATTCAGTCTGGGTTGTATGACAGGCATTTTCTGTAAAAAGGAAAACATAAACCTGACACTTAAGGGGAAACAACCAACAATATTTATTGCTAATGATAAAATTCAGAACTGAAAGCAAAAATTAGAATTTTGGATAATGTGCATTTGCCCACTGTAAGCTTGGCAGCTTCCCAGAAGTACTTCAAATCTTTTCTGATGTGATTAAGACTTTTCTGAAAATTGGTAAATGTGATTTTTTGGGATATTTTATAATGAAATGTGTCAACATTTGGAAGATCTGAAAATCTGGATGAACCAGTATTTTCTAAGTGACCAGTGCGTGATGTTTATACACTTATGTACATGGGGTAAAAGAACCACACAAAGGACAAGATAGACTAGTGATTTTTAATGTATCAGAATATGAAAAATTCATTACTATGGTTTAGGATTACAACTTATTCTTTTAAAAGCAACTATTGGCCGAGGTAAGAAGATTGCCTAAAGCTCAGGGGTTCGAGACCAGCCTGTGCAACTTGGTGAGACCTTGTCTCTAAATTGAATCAAAAAAATAAGCCAGGTATGGTAGCATGCACCAGTAGTTCCAGCTACTTGGAAGGCTGAGGTGAAAGGATTGCCTGAGCTCAGCAGGTCGAAGCTGCAGTGGCTGTGAGCATGCCACTGTACTCTAGCCTGGGCGACAGAGTGAGACTCCAACTCAAAAAAAAAAAAAAAAAAAAAAGCAACTGTTTATTGGGTTTTGATATAGTATTAAAGAAGAATATTCATAATTATTTGTAAATATTATTAGACTACTCTTCCCTTTTCCAACTACATATCTGTCAGTCCAGATTTTCTTTTTATACATCAACCAGAAAAAAACTTATAGATTGAATGTAGAAACAGATATAAAACTCCAACTGTTTTCTACTCAGTCAACAGATAAGAGATTTACAAAAAAATAAAATGGTATCACTCTTCTAATTTTTTTTAAAGGAAAATAGTTGCATTTCATTAAAAATGTGTTATTTATGTTAATATACAATAAGTTTGCTACTGTTTATTGAATACATATTTTTAAAATTTCTCAGTTTTTATTTCTAATAACCCATATAAACAAAAACTCTTTGAAGTCCTCAATAATTTTAAAGGGATTTTGACCTCAAGAAATGTGAGAACTGCTGATCTACAGAATAATATACAGTTTTAGAGAAGTGCTTTCCAAAGGGATCTATTGATTCTTTTTAATGATTCTAAAATTATTTACTTTTTTAAATGAGTATAATTTTCAGTGTCCTTAGTATCCTCATAAAAATGGACAGAGAAAATCTAAAATTGCTTCAAATTTTGCTACTAAGATTCTTCTTTGTGATTATTAGTTAGTGAATTTTAGATACTAAAAATAATTGGAAATTAAAAATTAGAATTAAGTCACTAGAGCCAAAAAGTAAAAATGGATAGGATTGATGAGGTGAAATATAGCAGAAATCTGAGCTTGTCCTGTTAATATAGTTTCAGAATAGAGAGGCCTTGCCTATGTGCTGTTAACCTTCATTTAGCCATAGAAATGAAGACATAGAATGAATACATTTATAGATTATTTAAAAGATCTTATTATTTAAAATGCTTTTTAAAGCCTTAATCCAGAAGTTCTAAAAAGAACAAAAACCATCACTTATTTTTGTTGTTGTTGCTATTTTTCTTTGGTATGCATTCTTATGAAAAGATCTAAAAATGGATATTAAATAGAGAAAAAGACACATGAAGCTATAAAATCTATAGATGACTAAATAGTTTCTTAATTTAGGCAGATAGAATTTTGTAAAGTTTAGAAATATTACTCCCTATTTCATTGCTATTTCATTCTATCTTTAGCACTAGAGAGAAGTTGTTCAGGGTTCCAGAATGCTTTTTAGACATTGTCTTGTTTTCACAATGCCAAGAAGAAACTAGAAAAAGAGTTCAGGTTAGACAGCAAGGCTTTAACAGAATTAGTCAGGATCACACAGGGAAGAATTCAGATTTTCTTAAATTTGATGTTGATACAGATTTATATTTTGTCAGGAAACCTGGCTTATGCTATAAATCCTGTGTTCTAATTTCTATGGGCAGGGTCTGTCAGTGTTTCCTTGCTTTTGTATAGGTCATAAAATTACTTTAAAGGGGGCAGTTTAAGTCACCCATGGCTAATTTATGTAATAAAGTTAGTCATTTGAATGGAAACTTGTCTAGGCCACAAAACCACCATATTTCCACATAAAGTAGGTGCATCCCTTTCTGTTGAAGTTGTCTTGGTATTTGACTCTAAATATAGACCTACATTGTAGTAAAAATTGAACCCATATTTTTGCCCAAATCATGTGAGAAAATTAGTTTTGACATGGCTTTTAAGTATAGACAAGAATATCATGTATGTGTATAAAAGGATTAAGAATCAGCATTAAAGCTTTTCATAATATTTTTGAGAAATTTTAGTCAGAAAAACCTTTAAAATGATTTAAGGTGCAGTTCTAACATGAAATAATTTAAGATGCTTAGACAACAAGGGAAGCGGAGAGTTGAGGCTCGTGAGGGAAAGAGAGTGGGTGTTAAATAGGGATGCTGCAGATGCAGATTGTAGTGCTGTACACAGAACAGAGGGGATAGAAGCAGAAAAACGAGGAAAAAAGAAAATCTAGGCTGGGCATGGTAGCTCATGCTTGTAATCCCAGCAATTTGGGAGACTGAGGCAGGATTGCCTTGGCAACACAGTGAGACCTCAACTCTACAAAAAAATAAAATTAGCCGACTGTGTTGGTACACATCTGTAGTCCAGGTATTGGGGAGGCTGAGGCAGATGGATTGCATGAGCCAGGAGCTAGAGGTTTTGGTGAGTCGTGGTCATGCCACTGGAACAGAATGAGAGTCCCAGTGGGAGGGAGGGAGGAAGGGAGGGAAGTGGGGAGAGAGGGAATAGAAAGGGGAGCGAGAAGGAGGAAGGAAGGAAGAAAGGAAAGAGGGAAGGAGAAAATCCAGTAAACTTCTAGAATAAGTAACATTTCTAGCCAAGCTCTAATAACATTGCTAGTTCTTGGACCTTGAATTATCTTTGTGGGGAGTTGATAAACTCCCCCAAACATGCAGAGTAACAAGTTTACACAGGCTTAGAGAGGACAGGAAGTTAAGCCAGAAGAAACAATGCAGATAATACTGGACACATAGGGGGATGTATGTAGTTCTTCAAAGGAAGACATGTAGCAGCTGACTTGTTGCTGCCTTTCTACAGAACTCCAGTTATAACTGTGCATGTTTGGTTAATTATATAGTATGAGACGTCTAGAAAATTATTTGGATTTCCTTGAAGTCAATACCAGTAATTTCTATTATACTGTGACAGAAGACAAAAATTTTATAGAAAGCAATGATAATGAAAAACACTCACCTAATAGATATGTCTGTGATTTACAACTTTTCTGCTTTCATGAGTGTTTGTTTTCTAATGTCTTCAGTTTGAGTTGCTCTTCTAGCATAATGACTAACTAGTAATAAATAATGCATTTTAAAATAGTCCCTACAGTATATTCCTGAGATGAGTTAGTCCTTAGCAGCTAAAGAACTTTTGATTTATATATATTGAGCTGTCATAAAATACTCATTTAATAGATCTAATGTGTACTTATAAATTAAGATATATTCCAAGTTTCACAACAGCCCAAATGAGTGAACAGTTAATATAAAAAAATGTTAAGTAACAAAGATGTTAGTAACCACTTAGTATTTTATAAGGAAATGAAACATTTGGGAATTGCTAGACATTTTGCTTTAATATTGGGTACCTTCCCGCTAAGAAACATGACGGTAATACTGTTAGGTCTTTCCTTGAGAAAAATGTTTTCAAGATCTTGCTGGCCTCTAGTGGTAATATGATGCTATTGTTTAAACATTCTCAAATTCTTATGAGTGGAAAGCTATTGTAAGGCATAGTCCGCCAGTAACTTTCCTCGCTCAGTTCTGGGTCAGCATTATTCTCAAAGTGTCCACATAACATCCTCTTCTTCCTGCAGACTAGAGGCTGTATCTTATGTTTTTGTATCCGAGTCATACCTACCTCTGTATTATGAATGATGTTGGTTTAGTTCCAAAGCAACCTCATTATGTTAGAGTATATGCATTGGTGATTACTGCACAAGCTTGTACTGATAATACTTCCCAGAGTGTTGCAGCTGTCTTATAGGCAGGTCATATAGCCATTTTTTTCCTATTCTGAATATCAGTTTTTGTTTTCTTAAAAGGAAGTTCTCAGTTTACCACTGAGATTTATGTTTAAACTCACCTCTTTATTAATTGATTTAGAAGAATTTTACATTTGAAATACTGGTTTACTAAGCAAGATAATAATTTCTCACTTTTGTTTTTCCCTTTTGTCACACAGATGTGAAAGGGCCACCAACCCATCATCTGTCTTGTGGTCAGTCACCCTACACTGAGACAACAACATGGGAGCGGAAGTACTGCATCCTCACAGACAGCCAGTTGGTATTGCTCAACAAGGAGAAGGAGGTAAGTTGGATATGATTTAGGAAAACTTATTTCCTTTTCTGAGAAAATTCCTGAAATTACCTTGGGTTTTTTTTTTTTTTTTTTTTTTTTGCATTTTGGTAAGTTACATTATAAAAATAGAGACGATGGATAATGGACTATAGATAAGCCTAAAGGGCTGCTAATGTCATAAAGATATACTATTTCCATGAAGAAGTGAGTTTCATAAGGTAGGGCTGGATTTTCACTAAGGAAAAAATTAGTTAAAGGGATTCTAATTAAGATGAGCAATTTGGAGTGAGAAGGGGTTAGATTATGTAGGCCTGGCCATAAACATGGTCTAGAGAAGCTATTAGAAATTTTATCAGTCTACTTCTTAGCAAAAACAAACAGATGTGTGGGTGGAATAAAGGACCCATCTAAGGGTGGGGAAGCACCCATGAACTAGCAACAGCAGTAAGCAGACCTTCAGGGCAAAGGAAGGGAGCAATCTTTCTGGAACCCAGAGAACTGTCATTGCATGAGAGTGCTGCATGACAGTTGCTGTGGTTATACACAAAAGAACACAGCCTCTATCAAAACAGAAATGGCCAGCAGGGAGGAAGTAAGAGAGAATAAACACCCCAGTTCTCTTTTCCTGCCTCTAACTTCTTGTCACTGACAACTGTTGACCATATCTGACATGAATGCAGGAGAATATTGTTTTTGATGTTTTCTGTAGAAAACACATAACAGGAGAGAGAAGGGCAGAGAGCAGAGTAGATCTGGAGATACAGGTGGAATGTAGACAGCACAGATTTCTAGTTCTAGGCTTACTTTCTATTTATCTAAGTTAAAAAAAAAACTCTTGCATGTATCACATGCTGTTACTACTTTATTCCTCAGACTGTTATAATATACAAATTCTTCCAAATCTAAGTAATTTATTTGCTTATTGGGGGTTAACCAGATAGTTGATATCATTCTGGTTTGTAGGGATATAAAACCATTCCACTCCCAACCTCTACCATATTAAAAAAGGGAATATAATCTTGATAAAGAAGATAGATAATGAGAAGGAAGGAGATTCAACGAAGGAGAAAGATTAATTGTCAAAAATATATAAATAACTAGAAAGATATAGGTAGAATATCCATTCAGTAAGTCATCCTTCCTGAAAAGCAGTTCAAAAGAAGCTATGAACAGGAAACACATTTCTTATTTCTCATATGTGGATCCCTACCTCTCTTTTCTCTTGCTCCTCTTTCCCTATCTATTTTCTTCTCTGTCCCTTCTCTTACTCAGCATTTTTAAAAATATGGTAAAAGCAAGGTAATAACAATAAAGCAATTTTAGTTTCTTCTTACGATTTAATAGGCAGTGCTTAATTTAAAGAGCCCAGCCAGTGTGCCTCCACGAAGAACTTGCTTATCCTTTTTTCTCCAGCCATTGAAAAATAGCCTTCACTTTTGTTACCATCTTCCTATCCATGACCCTTTTCCAGTATTTTAATATTATTAAATTTTATTTTATTAAAATAGTTTAATAAAGGTCACTTTTCTAGAATGTCTCGTATATGTTGCTGTGTTTATATTAAGTAGAAACATAATAAAAATTGGCAGTGTAAATATTAGTATAGAAGGTTTCTAATTATCTGAATTAAATTATTCAAAATGTTCATGTCACCCAACCTACTGTCAGCAGTCTTTTATCAGAGCTGTTAATAAAAAGAGATATGAACAGAACATTTGCCATCTTTTTGCCCTTACCTACATTTTATTCAGTTTATTACTGTAAGAAATGAAATAACCTAAGTATGGCTAGCAGAAGGTCATGAAGCAGGCCTTATCCAGATCCAAGAAACAATTCATTGGTTAATCAGTTGAGTAACCCAGGCCTGGGCACCCTTTTGCCTCATAACTGCCTATGGTAATAATTTTCTTAAACAATATATTGTGTACTTCATCAGTTTCTACCCATCATCATGAGTAGCCCTGGACACCAGGGGAGCCCTCGTCCCTCTTGTTGTGCTCTCTCCATGGCTCTGTAGTTTCCCTTTTCTGAGCCCATCTTCTACATTTCCTTCCTCACCTCTTTGAAACTCTTTCACCGTGCTCGCTGTGGTTCCAGGTCCATCAACAGCAAAAATCAGCATTTCCCCCACCTCTTCTCTGAAGGGGTCCCTTAACTTCTTGGTCTCACAAGAACTTAGAGCTTCCCTGAGGATACTACCATGAAGTTTTGTCAAGGGATGGCTGTTTTTTCTCTCACATTCCTTATACCATGATGTCTGTAATAGGTACCGTCTCCCTTCACGGCTGCTTCCTATCTGCTCACTCTTGTTGGCTCAAAATGTCCAAATTCTGAATCTCATGTTGTAGACATCTCACAACCCACCTTGTCATTTTTTGTTGATTTGTATCCCCTGGGTTGTTTGCATTATCTCCTAGACTATCCCAGTCTTGAGATTTTATGATTCCAATATCCATAGAGGTGACTTTTTTCAACATACTGGCTCTCAGTTCCTGGAATTCTTCTTTTCCAAGTATATTCTCCTCCATCCCATCTCACTGCTACAGTCCCTCTGTATTTTCAGGTCCATGCATTTTATTCTCTAACAGCACCTCATGTCCTTCTAGTTCTTTTCTTCCAACAATCCTTCACCCTTTCTGGGACCTCTGGCCCATTGACCTCTCACCTTTTCTGGTTCCTGTACCTCTGCAGTCCTCTTTCCCTCCTTCATGCAGCCCAAATTCCGTGGCCAGCCATTCTAATCATTTCCTTGCATCATATCTCCTCACCTTTCCCCTGCTTCATCATACACACTTGGCAAAGTGACAGCTCAGTTAAATCCTCCTCCTCATTCAATCTGCCCTGCATCTGCACAGCTTAATGTGTCTGGAGGAAACCACACCACCACACTGAATGGTCTTTAAACTAATGGCTGCCAATCTTCTGTGAGCCCTTAGTGTTGCTTGGCAATCACAAAACAGTGTCCTGGTTCAGTTACTGTCCCACTCCCCGGGGTAGTGCTACACAGTCTATCTGTGATGGTCCACCTTAACATGATCAATAAAATTCAATAAAGTGGATTGTTAAGCAAAAAACACTAAAATACAAGCCCAATTTTTTATTAGATTTAACAGCCATTACATTGCAATTCAATAAATATGTTCAATATAATTAAACCATAGGCTTAAAAAAGGAATAGAATTATAAAAATGGTATATATTCATGGAAAGTAGACTGTACAATGAGGCAAATCCACAGATCACACCAAGCATACTACTTCTCAGTTTCTGTGCTGTTTTGCTTATTAAAACAGTTTGCAGAACAGCATAGTATCCTGAACTATACTTTGAGTAGCACAGTCCAAAATGATTCATAAGGTGATTTTTTCCCCACACCTTCTCCTCTCTCCTCAAACCTCCCATCTTGTTTATTATCCTCACTTGGAGGTGATTCTTATTACTTCACTGAAAAAATTGAAGCACTCAGAAGAGAACTTCTGCACACTCCGTTGCTTTATCTCCCTAACAGCAACTGTTTCCTTATACCCTGTTTTCCCTCTTTAACCATGGTTGAATTGTGTACCATCTTACAATCAGCCCCTCTGCTTGCCTTTTCACTAGCATTACTTCTTGCCTTTTCAGGGGAATATCACTAGCAGTTTTCCCAAGATCATTCCCATCAGCATGCTATTATTTCTCTCATCTGAAAAAAAGCCTGTATTAACTTCACTTGCACCTGCAGTTACCACCCCTTTCTGTTCTCCCCTTTGTAGCAAAACGTCTTGAAACTTCTAAACTCATTGTTTTTTTTTCCTGTTCTCTCTTAAATCTACTCCATTCAGACTCTTAACCAGACCACTCTGCCAAAATCGCTCTTGTTAAGCTCACCAGTGACCTTCACATTGCTGTATTCAGAGGTCAGTTGTCAGTTCTCATTTTAATCTGTTAGTAGTATTTGATGCAGTTGGTCATTCATTCCTTCTCCTGAAATCACTTTCCTTACTTGGCTTCCATGACACTGCTCTTTTGTTTTCCTCTCACCTCTCTGGCAGTTCCTTCAGAGTCTTCTGTACAGATTTATCTTCTCTTCAAATCTTTTTTTTTTTCTTTTTTTTTTGAGTTGGAGTCTCACTCTGTCGCCCAGACTGGAGTGCAGTGGCCATCCCGGCCACCGCAGCCTCGACCTGCCGGGCTCCGGCGATCCTTCCACCTCAGCCTTCCAAGTAGCCGGAATTACAGGCATGCGCTACCACACCCGGCTGATTTTTTGATTTACTATAGAGATGAGGTCTCGCTGCCCAGGCGGGTCTCGAACCCACGGGATCAGGCAATCCACTCACCTCAGCCTCCCAAAGGCGCAGGATTACAGGCTGAGCCACTGAGCCTGCCTTCCTCTTCAAATCTTAACATGGGAGTGCCACAGAGTTCAGTCCTTGTATTTTACTTCCTTAGGAATCTCACAGTCTTAATGATTTTAAATATCTTCTAATGTTGATTATTCCTAACTTTATCTCTTGAACCCACACATCTCTCTTCTCTAGACTCTTGTATCCATCTGCTCATCATATATCCTCACTTGAATATGTAAGAGTCATCTCCACCATCCCCACACTGAAGCCCTAATTTTCACTTCTGTACTTAACAGGGGTCAATCCCATCTCCATGAATGACATCTTAATCCTTTCAAGTTTCATAGGCTAAAAACTTCCTCAACTCATTACTTTCTATACATATGGCTTTGTCAGTATTTCTTGAGTACATCAGTCATGTTCCTCCCTAAGAAAAAGTTTTGGCTTTTTCTTCTGCATGCTACATTCTTCCCTCAGATATTTACATGGCTTACTTTCTCACCTCCTTCATCTCTTTGCTTACTTAAACCTATTTCAAATCACAACTGCTCCACATATCTCCATCTAGAACTACGAATCTAATTACCTGGCTCTAATTTTTTTTTCTATAGCATTTGCCACCTTCTAAAATGCTATATAATTTATTAATGCTGTATAATTTATATTGTATATTACGTATATA